CTTGGGATAGCCCACCCCTGAATCACACATTTAGCTGCTACACACAATTTTCATAATTTATATTTTGTTAGAAGACCATCCACTTCGTGTAGGTTTTCAAATAGGATGTCATGACCTCTAATTCTTTTCATGTCTTCTGATTCTGTAGTTATGTTTTATTTCTCATTCCTATAATTCTTCATTTTTACGTTGATTTACTGCTATTTTCAAAGGAGTCAGCATTTGGATTCATGTCTTCTATTATTTTTCAATTTTCCATGTCAATAATTGCAGTTTTTAGTCTTTATTAATCCACTCATGCTTATTTCTTCAGGCTTATTGTACTAAGCTCTTGAGATGTCTGAAGACGAATGTTTGTTTTAAATCTGTATTTGGTAATCGGGGAGGTAATGAAGGCCACAGAGTATCCCCACGGCTGCTGCTGGATCCCGCAGATTTCTCCAGGGAGCGTTCTTTTAATTGCCTTCTAGACAGTTTGTGATTTTGCTTTGGTTTCCTCTTCTGATCTAAAGGAATTCCTATTTTCACTGGTTTGCTCAAGCTGCAGTACATTCTATGTGGGCAGCTGTGTGCTTTTCCATCCTCATAAGAGGTACCGTCCCTACCACTCACAGGTCAGATTCTTGATGGGAAACGAGATGGCAGGACTCGGTCTCCTCTGTCCCAAGCCCCAACCCCTACTCCAATAAGCAGGCCCGGAGATTTCCCCTCACCTCCCAGGAATTGTTTTTAGTGACCCACGGGAGGCGGGCAGGCCCGTGGCTGGGGATGTTTCCTCCTTGAGGGTCACTTCTCCCTCCGCTGTGATGAGCAGATGGGGAAGGGGCCACCGGGACCGAGAACCCCGAGCAACCAAGGCTCTCGGTCTCCCTCCCCTCCTCCCCCGCTGGGCAGGGCTCCCTCCCCTCCCCCTCTGCTGGGCGGGGCTTCCCCCCTCTGGGCGGGGCTCCCCTCCCCCACCGCTGGGCGGGGCTCCCTCCCCTCCCCCTCCGCCCGGCGGGGCTCCCTCCTCTCCCCCCTCTGGGCGGGGCTTCCCCTTCCCTCACCCTCCCCTCTCTGGGCAGGGCTCCCTCTCCTCCCCCTCCCTCCTCTGGGGCTCCCCTCCCCCTCCCCCACCATCGGGCGGGGCTGCCTCCCCTCCCCCCTCCGGTTGGTGCTCCCCCTCCCCCTCTGGGCGGGGCTCCCTCCCCTCCCACACCACTGGGCGGGGTTCCTTCCCCTCCTCCACCACCACCAGGCAGGGCTCCTCCCACCGCTGGGCGGGGCTCCCCTCCCCTCCCCCACGGCCGCTGGGCGGGGCTCCTCCCTCCTCCACTGGGCTCTTCCCCTCCCCCATCACTGGGCAGGGCTCCTCCCCTCCTCCTTCACTGGGCCCTGCTCCCCTTCCCCTCCCCCACTGCTGGGCGGGTCTCCCCTCCCCTCCCCCACCAATGGGCGTGGCTCCCTCCCTCACCGCCCACCCCCCACCCACCACGCGCACCGCCCGCGGAGAGCCACGCGGGGGCGTGGGGGGCCTTCTGGGAGGGACGGCTGCGCAGGTGCCTGGCAGGCTGTGGGCGGGAGCGCAGGCCCCTGCGGGCTCAGGGCCGTGGCGGCGGTCAGCAGCTGTGGCTTCACGGGTTGTGTGGGTTGTGCCGGCCGGAAGGCTCTCTGCAGGCAGCCCTGGCACGAGCAGAGGCCGGCGCTGTGCCGGCTGCATGGAGGGGTCCGGGCAGGTGTCCGCGGCAGGTGTCATCCGGGCAGTGCCCGGAGCGCAGGGCGGCGGGGGGCGGGGGGGTGCTCCAGGGAGGAGAGTGAGGCTGGCGGGGCATCCAGCTGGGGGACCCCCGGGGGCCCCTCTCCTTCCCCGTTAGACCTTCCTGATGCTGGACGCCTTCCCAGAGACCCCGTCTTGCTCCTGGGGGCCCTGTATCCAGGGCACTGCTGCAGATCCAAGGCCTTTGAATTATTCCCTCGATGGAATTAAAATGTTTCTTTTGCTGTGGCCACTACAGAAATTTGAGAAACGGTGGAGGGGTCCACCTGGTCGGAGGCTGCCTCTCCCGTGCGCTGGAATCAGTCACTGGAAACATCCCTGGAAACAGGCAGGTTAGGTCGCACGGAGTGCGGCTCGCGTCTGGGCTCTGATGCTGGAAGCTTGTGTCTTCCTGTGGGCCCCAGGGACGCTTTTTCTCCTGCTGTGTTTTGTTTTCTTTCTTAGCCTTTGTCTAGTATCGTGGAAAGCACCATACGTATCTGTCTGCCAGACTGCAAGTCTCTCAAAGGCATGACTCTTAGTGGAAGAGGATCCTGGAGACGGATGGAGGAATGGAGAAAGGATTGCAGGGTTTGGCTCCTTGTCGAAGCTGAGTGTGTTTAACGAGCGCGGAAAGAAGAATGATTTTTCTTACGGTGCAGGGTACCCCTGAAAGCCTGCAGCGGGTGTGGGCCTTCTCCAGAGCGAGTCCAGGCCAGGATGGCTCTACCACTGGAGCAGCTAGAACTCTGGCCCGTGGGTGCACACAGGCTCAAGGGACGGTTACGGAGATGGCGCCAGAGCCAGAGCAAGAGACGTGGGAGTTCGAGACTAGGCTACAAGGGAACCACTCTCCGGGTCCAGAGATCTCCCGCCCGTGGTTCAGGCAGCTCTGTCCCAGGAGACTCGGCCTCCCCTGGAGCCCCTGAGCCAACTGTGGGTGCTCTGCTGTGAGTGGCTGAGGCCCGAGAGGCACACGGAGGAGCAGACCCCGACCGTCCTGCCCGAGATGCACAGAAAGAGCCGTGGGAGGGGAAGGCACCTCGGGGAGCATCCAGCTCCAGCCCACGCAGACCCAGCCTTTGCCAGAGCATGGTGGAAAGCCGGACTCAGGAGGGAGAGGAGGAGGGAGTATAAAGGGCACACAGTAGTGCTCAGAAGTTGGCTGTCATCATTCTGAAAGACTTGGGCTGCTTGGTCACCTCTACAGTGAGGAGGGAGACTGATAAACTGTCTCACAGGGGGGCCCTAAAGATGAAAGAACTAAAGCTTCTATCATGTCTGGCTGCGAAGCCTCGCCGCCCCCCGCCCCCCCGCCCGAGGGAGCCCTCACACACCCCCAGGAAACCCTTCATTCCCGTTCTGCCTCCTCAGGCCCACTGCTCTCCACTCCCAGCTCATCACTCCCTGAGCTAGAGGCCGGCCTTCAGATCCTTTCTCTTTTGACTTCCCCAGGCCTCCCAAAACAGACTCTAAGGTATCAAGCCATTCCGGTGTAAGATACGCCTGTGGTCACCTTTATCTGCCGCCCGCACCCCTGCTAGAAACGAGGACGTCAGCACTTAGCTCCCGCCCATCACTTCCTTCCCCGCCTGCGTCACCCCCATACACATCCTCCCCTCCCTGCCTGGGGCAGAGCCTAGACCAGAGCCTCAGGAACCAAGGGACCATCACGGTGATGTGTTGCTCATCAAGAAGATTCCATTTCATAGTTGGTTGGGCATCACAACCCCGCCACCAAACGGAAGCATCTGACGGCTCAGTCCTCTTAGCAACAACAGGGGAAAACTGGACATGGAGGTTGATCTTAGAGTCTGTTCCAGAAGTATATTCTTAGCTCCCAGAGTTCCTTGCCTTTATTCCAGATTCTTTTTTTTTTTTTTTTTTTGGTCTCTTTCACTTGTTTACTAAATCTCTACTCATTTATCAACTGGGTACTTTACTTTTCAAAAGAAGCTAGCTAGCTGTGGTTGTTTCCCCAGCAAATACACTGCAGATTTCTTAAACCACAGCATTTAATGTGGAGAAAATGCATTTTCTAAAATTTTTATTTTTTTAAGTAGGCTCCATGCCCAATGTGAGGCTTGAACTCATGACCCTGAGATCAAGAGGGGCACGCTCTGACTGAGCCAGCCGGGCGTGCCAAGAAAGTGTATTTTTTAAATCGAATGCTCTTGAGTCACCTTCAAGCAGTGGTTTTTTGTCCTCTATTTGGACCACGGAGAGTGTCACAAACAATTAAAACATACAGTGTTATGGATGTCTGAGAGCAAAAGGGCAAAGCACTCTTCTTTAAAGAGCAGGTCAGAGGGGGAGGCAGCACCAAGCAGGTGGATGCAGGAACGGGCAGCCATCCCCTCCATAAGGGAGCTAGCTGCTGGGGGATCCTTTCCAGCGGCCGTCTGCTGACGGGGCAGGGAGCGGAGGCAAGGGTTCCAGAGTCAGGAGGGGCGGACTTCCTGCCCTTCCCTAACCCTGCGACCCTTCTTTCTTGTGTTTCCCATCCCCCACAACATCAGTTGGCCACTCCCCAATTTCTTGAAGATAATACTTAATCTCATATTTTTAAAATATTTATATATTTTAGAGAGAGAGCGTGAGCACTAGGGGCAGAAGGAGAGAGAGAATCTCTAGCGGGCTTCCTGCTGAGCACAGAGCCCGACGAGGGGCTGCATCCACGACCCCGAGATCATGACCTGACCCGAAACCAAGAGTCGGACGCCCAGCTGACTGAGCCGCCTCTGTACTGAATATTTTTTAAGCTTTTACTTTCATGCCAGAAGTATAAATCCTGGGGCGCCTGGGTGGCTCAGTCATTAAGCGTCTGCCTTCGGCTCAGGTCGTGATCTCAGGGTCCTGGGATTAAGCCCCGCATCGGGCTCCCTGCTCCACGGGGAGCCTGCTTCTCCCTCTCCCTCTGCTGCTCCCCCTGCTTGTGCTCTCTCTGTCAAATAAATAAATAACATCTTTGAAAAAAAGGAGTAAAAATTCTAATCCAAGTGCCATGTCTCCATACCTCCAGGACAGGCGTGTTTACTTTTCCAGCCCTTGTTGCAGAAGGCAACCCAGGGTCCATCGCCACAAGCACTCGTTCCTGCAGTGGACTCGCCGGCGGCGCCTCTGCATCTGAAACCACCTCTGAGGCCGGGGGCACTTTAGAGCAGGCAGCGGTGAGAGACCCCACAGTGCAGGGACAGGCGCGGCCCTGGGGCAAGGTGGCAGGCAGATGGCTGTCCCCAGTAGAAGACGCCCACAGGGAAGAAAGGCCTCGAGTGTAGGGTATGTGGGAAAGTCTCCATTTATGACTCACACCTTCTAACCCACCAGAGAGTTCCTTCCGGAGAAAAGAGCGGTGACTGTGGGAAACCGTCCAAACAGAGCTCCACCCTCCTTCAGCATCACAGGAAGAACCCCCGTGAGCATCGTGAGTGCGGGAAGCTCCCTGCGGTGGGCGCTCATCTTGTTCGGCGCCGTAGGAGGACATGTTCGGGGAGGCAGCCCTCTGGGGGTCCTCACCGTGGGAAGGTCCTCAGCGCGCACGCTCGCGTCCAAGTCGGGATCTGAGAATTCGCGGTGCGGAGAAACCTCGTGTATAAGGAGTGCGGGGGCGACTATGGGTGGGGCTCAGAGCTCGTGAGACCCCCGAGAGTTCATTCCAGAAAAGAGCCTGCCCCGCATCCTGACAGTGAAAACGCCCCCGGACGGAATCCGACTCCTGTCTCGTGAGTTCTCGGACTAGATTCCATAAAAGGTGTAAGTTCCTGGAGGCCTTTCCTGCGGCTTCCTTGATTTAGGAAAAACCGTTCACCTAGTGCCACCTGCAGACCATCACTCTGTGCCCTCGGATCCAAATGCCTACTCGCTGGAGCCCCGGGCGGGGCACGATGCGGCAGCCGCTGGGCCGTGCTCATTCCCATAATAGCACCATGAGTGGTCTCTGCTCCCGGCCCCGTCTCCACCCCGTGCTGGTCGGCTTCCACGGACAAGGTCACAGCCACAAAGGGCCAGGCACGAGACAAATCGCGTGAGTCACTCGGACGGGGAAAGCCTAATATGCAGAAGTGTGAGCTAGGAGAGCGAGATCTCGAAGAACAGAGGAAGGGCAGAGTGGGGACGAGTGCCACCTCTGGGAGAGGGACAGTGCCCAAGGAAGCAGCAAATGTAGCAGAGCCCCCCCCCATCCCGACCAAGACTGAGGTCAGACCTCCCTGGACAACGGTGGTTCCAGCTGTGAGCCACAGCTGGTCTGGACAGACTCGCAAGAACCAGGTTTGCACTCCCTTCCCCAACCGCACTTCACTTGGTGGTGGGAGGATTCGCTCCAGGGAAGTCAGTGAGCAGCACAAACGAGGGCTCTTTTCTCTCTGAACTGGTTCTTAAATATTTACCAGCACAAGTTCCAGCCCAGTGGATGGTGAAGTTCACCGAGGTGCTACCCCGTGAGAACGGGAAGGAAAAGCGACAGGAACCAGAAGAAGCCCCTTCCTCTTGCCCTGTCCCTCCAGCGCCCTCTACCGGCCAAGCTGTGCCCGCTAGCAAAGTGGAAATGTATACAGGCGACGGTATACAGCAGGGCGCAGCCCTGCAGACTGGGGGTCAGGAGGCTACACGCTGCTGCCCGGCCCGGGTTCCAACCTCACTCCCACCTCGAACCCGCCCTTCCTCCATGCCCTCCGCCCAGATCGGAACATGTATCACCCCTTGCCTTAGATCTGCTTCAGTGTCCTCTCTTTGGAGAAGCCTTCCCTCCCTCTACGATACCGTGTTATCCCCGCTCCCATAAATGTCCAGAGGTAGCCGGGCGGGCGCGATGGCCTGCACACCTGCGGTCCCTGCTGCTCGGGAGGCTGAGGCAGGAGGATCGCGTGAGCCCAGGCGTCCTGGGCTGCACTGTGCTGTGGCGATCAGGTGTCCATCAATAGGGCAACTGGCAGGCCACCTACAGAAGGGCGAATCGGCCCAGGTGGGAAACCGGAGGTCACAGCGCCTGTGCTGATCATGAATGTCCAGAGGGACACGGGTGGTCAGCACACGACAGCCTACAGGCTCAACGCACATCCAGGTGTGGCCTGTTTTTCGAAGCCCACAAGCTGAGAAAGGGCTTTACCTTGTCTCTCTGTTCTGAAAAGCAGAAAGAGTGACAGAGATTGTATGTGGCCCACAAAGCTAAACTATTTATTTGCTATCTGGCCCTTTACAGAAGTTCGCCAAGGCCTGGCCTAAGGGGCAGCTCAGTGCCGTCCGGCCCGCCGCTGCAGGAACCCACGTGCTCCCCCTTGCTCTTGCCCCAAGCATGGGGGCTGTTGCAGCTCACGGGGAAGGCAGAGCGGCAGTCCCAGGGACCATCGGGTTCCTTCTCGGCAAGTGTCAGGGAAGGTGCCCCCCTCCTTCATGGGAACTTAACTACACGGCCACGTCTGTCTTCCAGGGAGGCCGGAAGCAAACCTCTTGCAGGATGGCCACTCACCCAGTTAAAAGTCTCACTGTGGCGAGAATGTGGCAAGAGCGGCACTCGACCCCCAGGGGACGTGCCCCCCCTTCTGCCGACTGACCGGGGGAGGGAGTCCGGGCCCCCTTCTGCGCAGGGGTGAGGACCAGAGCCCCAGGGTGGGGATGAGTGCTGGCCTCGGGGGCCACTCCAGAATCAGCCGTCATGCCGGCTGCAGAACGGGACTCTGAGAAGAGTGAAACCAGAGGCAACTTTTGTAAGCAAAACATTGACCTGAGAACGTCTCTTTTGACGTGTCGGTACAAAGGAACGGAGGCTCTGTGTGTGTAGTTTGACTGTGTTAGAGGAATAGTTCCTTGCACTCGGGGGGTCCCGGGGGTCAGTGGTGCTGTCCTCGTGTGATCAGCATCTGTCCGTTTCTGCGGGGAGGGGACCGTGTTCAGGGGTGCATTTTGGAGCTGAGAGCAGGGGGTCCCCAGCCAGGCAGCTGAATAAACAGAACTTGTGCTAACAGGGAAGGGGGGTCTCCTGTCCCCAGCAGGAGACAAAGAAACGGGCTCCCTGGTCTCAGCAACCAAACACACACCAGGGACTTGGAGGGCACGTCTGCTGGGGCCGGTAAGAAATGCGCACAGAAGGTTGTCCTGTACCTAACAGGTGCACTTACTCCACTGCACCCCTGGGACGAGCCCTCCCGTCCTCGGGAAAGTGCAAGGTGCACGTGCCAGGGAGGCACCTGCGTGCCCACAGGAAGGGAAAGAGGTGATGCGAGCTTCAGTCAGTCCCTGGACGCTCTTTTTTTTTTTTTAAGATGTTATTTATTAGAGAGAAAATGAGCAGGAGCACTAGCAGGGGAAGAGGCAAAGGGAGAAGCAGACTCCCCGCGGAGCAGGGAGCCCAACGCGAGACTCAATCCCAGGACCCTGGGATCATGACCTGAGCCGAAGGCAGACGCTTCACCAACTGAGCCACCCAGGTGCCCCGGACCCTCTTTTAACATAACGAGACCAAGGTCAGGGAATAGCTGCAGTTAGAACAGCTTCATTCACAAGTTTACAGCCCCCAGTGAGCGCTCTTCCCCGGCCTCGCTCTCCTTGGCTCCACAGGGAGAAGCGGGGAGAGACAAGGAGCAGCACAGCCCTGCCTGGATACAGAGGAAGCTTGTGCTGGGGGCTCGCAGATGGGGGGGCAGTGGATGAAGCGGGAGCCCCTCCCCATCCTAGCTGCCCGCTGCCAACAGAGAAGGGCAGCCCCTTCCCTCCCGCGGAGGCAGACTGGCTGCGTGGGATGGAGCACCCTGCCTCGTGGTCAGCGGAGAGGTGGGGAGGAAAGGGAGGTGCATTCACAGGCCCGGCCACCAAAGGTCTCCCTGCACGTCCCCTGGGCTGATGCAGGCTTCTGGCATAGCTCCTCCCCTGCCCCATCCTGCAGCCCCTGTTCTCTCACCCAGACGTTCCCCAGGGCGCCCCCCAACACTCCATCTCGAGGTCTGTTCCCCAGGGACTGCAACCTAAGAAAACCAGGCATCAAATAAGCAGAGTAAAGAGATGTTGGCGGGGGCAGTGGGGGGGGCCCACACTGCACTCGCGGCCTGGGGATGGGGAGAGGGGGCAGACGCGAAGGACAGGACAGGGCAGAAGGGGAGAACGGAGGAGGGCCCAGGAGCTCCTGGGCTGCAGCTGTGGGCCTGGGGCTGAGGGACTCCGTCAGCCTGGGAGCCTCGTTTGCTTCCCCTGGGCACCTGCAAGGTAATGAAGCAGTTTTCCACGGTCACGTCTAACCTTAAGAAACAGGCCTTACAGGGGCGCCCGGGGGCTCGGTCAGTGGAGCGTCCCACTCTTGATTTCGGCTGAGGTTGTGATCTCAGGGCCGTGAGATCCAGCCCCGCGTCAGGCTCCGTGCCCAGCGGGGAGTCTGCTGGAGGTTCTCCTCGCTCTGTTCCTCCTACCGCGTGCACGCTCTCTCTCTCTCTAAAGTAAACAAATAAATCTTAAAGAAGAAAGAAAAGAAAAGAAATAGGCTTGCTTTATATTGCTGCGTTACGGATGAAGAGACGAGGAGATTCAGCTGTTTGTCCAAGGTCACGTGATGTGTCCGAGGCAGAGCCAAGATCTGAACCCAAGGATGCCTTCCGACCCCGTGCTCACTCAGCTCCTTGTTTGCTCAACAAACTGCATGGGTGAGGAGGAGGAAGTGGGGCTAAGCGTTCCCGACCTGAAGTGTGGGGCAGGGGAGTCCAGACTCCGCAGATGGGTGGGGACTTGGTCCCTGAGACCCGCCTGCTGCCGCTGCCTGGGGAGCAACGTGGAATTAAGTTCATTCTGTCCCGACTACAGAACAGAACAATGAGAAATGATGGCCTTTCTTTCAAACATGAAAACAGTTCCCTCACCCACAAAATCAGCATAAACAAAAGCCTTATAGAGCAGGCGAGCACATCTCTGCACGCAGACAGGACTAATGCTTCTGGCCGTGAAGGAGTCATGAGGACTGGATTTACCATCCCCCCCACCCCAGCCAACTAAGAAGCCAGACACAACAGTGGATGACAGGGGGTGCCGGGCAGGGCGCCCCGAGGGAAGAGGGACAGGTGAGGTAAGACCCAGGCTGGGCCCAGCTGAAGGGACGGAGCTGAGAGTCGCAGAGGAGAGAGCCAGCTGACCCCAGGCCTCGCACACGGGGGCTGCCGCCACGTCCCCCACCTGGAGCCAGCGACAGAACCCGTGGGAGGCGCAGGCAGCGTTCCTGGAGCTCACACAGGTCTGGGAATGGCTGGAGTGGAGAACCCTTGCCGTGGGCACGCACCCCGCAGAGCCACACAAGGGTCTTACTGCAGGGACGGGCGATATTGACCCTGGGCCTCAAGGCTGCTCAGTCCCACCAACCAAGTGGGAAATGGAGCCTCAGGAGAACCAAACTGTTTCCAAGTACTTACCTGCATCCCAGTTCAAAGCTCAAAAATATTGAAAGGAATTAAAAAAAAAACCAACAACATAAAATTTACAATGACTAGGATGCTGCCAAAATTTCAAGGCAGGGGCGTCTGGGGGGCTCAGTTGTTAAGCGTCTGCCTTCGGCTCAGGTCATGATCTCAGGGTCCTGGGATCGAGTCCCGCATCGGGCTCCCTGCTCGGCGGGGAGTCTGCTTCTTCCTCTCCCTCTACCCCTCCCCCCGGCTCGTGTTCTCTCTCTCAAATAAAATAGATAAAATCTTTTTGAATCTGATGGAAAGTATCAACCCACGGATGGAAGGAGTGTGGACAAACACTGGGTTTGTATGGAAGAAACACACCAACACACTGTCAACATCAGACTGGCTGAATGCAGTCATGAGTACCCATAATCGGCTGTGCTGTGGAATTTCATCTTAGAAACGAGGACTAAAATTGATAAGTGGAAGGAAGTGCGAGCTTACCGGGAAGTCTGAAGACTGAGCACCCTCACGGTGGAATGTGTGAGGGGAGAGCCTTCCGTGACCTCCGAACGTATCGCCTTCGCAACTTCCTGGTAAGCCCACTGGGGAGACTTGACAAAGACCCGGCATGGGAACGGGACCCCACGTCCGCTCACGGGCTGCTCGGCGCTCTGACGTGGATGCGATAATGTGCGTTAGCGGCCGGTGCAGAGGCGAAGGCACGACCGGCACTCTCCTCGAGCTCAAGCGCTGGTGAGAAGGCACCCTAACTTGGGGCAGATCGAAGAAGGACCACGGGTAAAGGAGAAAACGACACTGCATCTACAGGGCCCCCGCTCCATACCAGGTGGCGGGCTCTCAGGCGCATGGTTCTATATCCTGTACCTGCGGACGCTGTCCCCGCTGTCCTGACGAGGACACGGGAGCCCAAGGGCAGCCCGAGGTAATCCCGTCCACACTGAATTCCGAAGAGGCCGCGGGCGCGCTGGGGGTCAGCACAGACTGGCCGCCCTGGCTGTCGGTCCACCGCGAGGACAAACGGCTCCTTCTCCCTCAACTCATTTGCACTTCCAGCATCGCCCGAGCCAACGCGGCACGAACAGGAGGGAAGGAGGGGGTGAGAGCCTGTCCCAAGTCCGGAGGACACGCGTGGTCCGTCTCGCAGTACAGACTAGGTAAGCACAAGCTGCCCAGGGCTAGTGTGGACGGTAACCCTGAGCAGATGAGTGCACCTGAGTGCACCTGAGAGCACAAGCCCGTGAGGCCGAGGACGGCGCACCAACGAGAGCTCGGAGTCCCGGCAGACACGTCTGACGCCGGCTGCCGTGCAGCAACAGTCTGTCCAGG